GGTGAGCGCATGCGCCCTATAGCAAAAACCTCTCCAAAAAAAAAAAAAGAGTATAATTTTTTTTTCTTTTTGTGCTAGAGGACACATGCATGCACTAGAAAAAGCCAGAGAGCCAGAGAGAGAAGAAAGCATCCTTCATGGTAAAGTCACAGTGTAATTCCTTCTCTTCCATCTCTTCCTCTCTTTGAGATTTTAGGCATGCATGCACACATACCCAGTGTGTTTCTCAGGCTACCAGGTCTGGGACTGGAATCCAGTCAGCCTTGTGGTATCTGGCTGCCCGACAACCAAGCCAGGGAGTCAGTCCCCAAATGCACTTTCCTATCAAGCAAATGATGGTTCTTCAGGCACTGCTGTCAAGCTGTTTACCTGCTTTAAAGAAATCTAAGTTTAGGACCAGCAGGTAGCATGGTAGTTAAGATGCTGGACTCCCACATGGCCGACCATAGTTCCAGTCCCGGTCAAATTTTAAAAAAAGGTAAATAAATAAATAAGTTTTTTTAAAAAAGCAAAAAACAAGTACACATAGTGGCCTCACAATATGATGTGCTCTCTCTCTAGGGACCAGCAATTAGCATAATGGCTATGTTGCTGAACTCTCACGTAATCGACCGCAGTTCACATCCCGGACCCGGTGGCTTAAACTCATGCCTGGTGCGTGTACGTGTGTGTGCGTGCCCAAGATCCCGAGAGGAGAATGGAGAAGGGATTGCGGTGTGGCCATCCCCCCTGGGGGATGATTTCTCGCTTTCTGTCTCTCTGTCTCTCTCTGTCCCTCTCTGGTCAAATTTTAAAAAAGGTAAATAAATAAAGTTAAATAAAGTAAGTCTTTTAAAAAAAGCAAAAAACAAGTACAGATAGTGGCCTCGCAATAAAATGTACTCTCTCTCTATAAGGCTGACTCACATAGGAGGGCTCTGAATTCCTGGCTAGACACTCTCTCAGTACACTGAGCACACACATGCCCATGGTCCAGGGCTGGCTGAGGCTGGAGATGGATCATAGGCATCATAACCCTGTTGAGGTATGCTGTCTGTCTCTTTCACTCACAGAAGAAATAATAAACATAAAAAAGAAAACAAACAAACAAAACCCAATCAAAAAGTATCAAAAAGCTCAAGAAAAATTCATACTATGAAAAAACTATACAAGGAGTTCAAATTTTTTTTTAACAAAAATAAACTCACACGGTCACAGTCTATGTCCTAAAAGAGTCTGTAATTTTCTTGAAGAAAGAACATGTGCAAATAAGGGGAAATAACTGATAAACTATGAAGTGTTAAAGAATGAACAAAGTTCAAAGAGGCTCTAGAACTTGAAAGGGAAGTGAATGTATTTTAAAGGGATTGTAAGAAATACCAAAGGACCAGAATATTAAAACTGTAAGAATCATTAAATTTAGTTTATTAATTATACAGATAAAAAGAACTGAAGGCCAAAAAGGCAAAATGTCTGAGTCATATTACTAACTGATATCAGATATGACTCTTAGGAAAATACTCATTTCCTAAAGCACAATACATAAAAAATTAACATTTTTGGGACCAGAAGTTGGCGTAATGGCTATGTTGCTGGACTCCCATTTAGTCGACCATGGTTCGAGTCCTGGACCAGGTGGCTTAAACTCACACCAGGCATGTGTGCGTGCACGCTCAAGATCCCTAGAGGAGAATGGAGGAGAAGGGATTGCGGCGTGGCCACCCCCCATGGGGGGGGGGGATTTCTTGCTTTCTGTCTCTCTGTCAAAAAAAAAAAAAGAGTATAATTTTTTTTTCTTTTTGTGCTAGAGGACACATGCATGCACTAGAAAAAGCCAGAGAGCCAGAGAGAGAAGAAAGCATCCTTCATGGTAAAGTCACAGTGTAATTCCTTCTCTTCCATCTCTTCCTCTCTTTGAGATTTTAGGCATGCATGCACACATACCCAGTGTGTTTCTCAGGCTACCAGGTCTGGGACTGGAATCCAGTCAGCCTTGTGGTATCTGGCTGCCCTACAACCAAGCCAGGGAGTCAGTCCCCAAATGCACTTTCCTATCAAGCAAATGATGGTTCTTCAGGCACTGCTGTCAAGCTGTTTACCTGCTTTAAAGAAATCTAAGTTTAGGACCAGCAGGTAGCATGGTAGTTAAGATGCTGGACTCCCACATGGCCGACCATAGTTCCAGTCCCAGACCTGGAGGCTTGCATTCTCACTTTCCCTCTCTCTCTTTCCTTATCTCTCTCTCTGTCTCTCTCTGTTTCTCTCTTGTCAAATTAAAAATATAATAAATGAATGAATAAATAAAATTCAATAAATGATTCTTAAAAAATAAGTCTAAGTTTGAAGAGTCAACTGTGGATTTAGTTTAAAAATTCAGTGCTGGGACCAGCAGTTAGCATAATGGCTATGTCGCTGGACTCCCATGTAGTCGAGCACGGTTCGCATCCCGGACCCGGTGGCTTAAAACTCACACCGGGCGCGTGTGCATGTATGCCCAGGATCCTGAGAGGAGAATAGAGGAGAAAGGACTGTGGTGAGGTCATCCCCCCTGGGGGGTGATTTCTCGCTTTCTGTCTCTCTGTCTCTGTCTGTCTGGTGAGCGCACGTGCCCTATAGCAAAAACCTCTTAAAAAAAAAAAAATCAGTGCTTTAGTTGAAATATTTATGGAAAAAAATGTATTACCCAGGATTACTTCAAAATAGTATGGTAGGAAGAGGTGGTACAGGGAGCCAGCAGTTAGCATAATGGCTATGTCGCTGGATTCCCATGTAGTCAACCGTGGTTCGTGTCCCGGACCCGGTGGCTTAAAACTCAATGCCGGGCGCGTGTGCGTGCGTGCCCAAGATCCCAAGAGGAGAATGGAGGAGAAGGGACTGTGGCGTGACCATCCCCCCTGGGGGGTGATTTCTCGCTTTCTGTCTCTACGTCTCTGTCTGTCTGGCTAGCGCACGCACCCTATAGCGAAAATCTCTACAAAAAAAAAAAAAAAGAAAAGAAAGAAAGGAAGAGGTGGTACAAAGTAAAGTACCTGGAGGCTGAAGGACTGCAGTGTGACCGAGCCCTATTCAGGCTCCCTCTCTCTCATGTATTCATGTGTCCTCTCTCATTAAAAAAAAAAAATTAAACAAAAAATAAAACAAAATCAGCTTAGTTGACAACTGCCTAACCTGGGTGGTTTATTATACTATTTTCTCTATGTATCTATATGTTTAAAATTTTTTGGAATAAAGAGATTTTAAAACTTTATATCAGAATCTCTGGAGTTGGGAAATAAATCAGAAGAGAGAAACAAACAAAAAAAATACATAAAATATTAAAAACACTAGGGGGACCAGCAGGTAGCATGGTAGTTAAGGGTGCTGGATTACCACACAGCCAACCGTGGTTTGAATCCTGCACCTGGAGGCTTGCTTTCCCACTTTCCCTGTCTCTCTCTCTCTCTCTCTCTCTGGTCAAATTAAAATAAATAAATAATTAAAAAAAAAAAAAAAAAAACACTAGGTTTTATTGAAATCATCCTGGTACAAAAACTTGTTTTGTAATGCCAAGGACAATAGTTTAACAGTGATATAAACAGTATGTAATACTGTAGGCATTTCTGTACCTCTTGTGAAACAGTAGAAATGATTGAGACTTATAAAGATTCTACAGACAGCTTGAGAGATCTTGGACAAATTACTTTGCTAAAGATTTCTAATCTGCAAAATATATAGGTAATACTTACCCCCTAAGATTTCTGTGAGAATTAAATAAGATTATGTAAATGCTTACTACAGTGCCTGGCACAAGTAGGTGCTCAATAAATGGTAGATATAAATTTTATCAATAAAACCATAAAAATATAACTATACTGCTAGAAAGATTTAAATTCTTAGTAAATAAAGACTCAGACTCCGACTTAATGGTTTTTAACAGCCATAGTGCTTACTCAATATTTAATGAACTAAACTCAACTGCACACCAAACCAGATATTGCAAAATATCTAAAATAGCAAACCCTAGTGTGAATGAGTAATTTGGAAGTGAGCTATTTGACCTATCCTTGCAAAATCAAGTGATTAAAACCTTTCTTACATCCGTGCGAAAGTCTACACTGAATAGAGGAGAAGGTGGTGTTGGTGACTGTGTTGCCACAGGAAGAGCTGAAGAGACAAGAGGTGCTTTCTGAGTGTGGTACTGTGCCCACTGATCTGGCTTTCTTCTTATCTGCTCCTCGCAACTGGTCTTCAAATGACCACAAGGTTCCTAAGGGGGGGATAAAAGAAACAATCTTAATCATCTAGGGAGTGGTGAATAAATTTAACTATGCTCTGTGAAAATAATGTAAACAGTTTATGATATTGTTGGGATAAAAAAAAAAGTACAACAGGGAAGTCACCCTAAGCTATTCTCTACACACTTAAATAAAAAGGTTAACATTTATTCAATTGATGTTAAAAGTAAAATTTGAGCACTTGCTTTTCTGGTTTAATAAAGTCAACTGTATATAAGTGAAGATACTTAAAAAAAGCCCCTGTCTTTGTATTGTTGATTTCCTTTTACCTTTCCATCAGTTTCCTATTTAAATGTAACATTTATTGAGCATTAATATGTATCAGGCCCAGTTCAAAGAGCTTTGTTTTTCTGATTTAATTCTCACAATAGTCTTATGAGATAGGTACTACTATGATTTCCATCGAAGAGATGAAAAAAACAAACAAAAAAACATGGCATAGGGAGGTCAAGTAACTCCCACAAGTCACATACTTAGAAGTAAGAGGAGACAAAACATATGCCTGAGTTGTTTAACTCCAGACTCTGTGCCCTTAACTACTATACTGCAGTAGCATTTCTAGCTCCACCATTGCTTACCCTTGGTAAAGGCACAGTTGTCCTTGGCTCACTTGGTGGCTGACAAGCCACTGAATAATATCCATCTAATGAATTATATCTTTCCCGCAAAGATGTCTGATAGACAGACGAGTGCATCACATCCATTGGAGGTAAAGAATTGCTTCTAATAATATCATCTCGTTGATACATAGAAGGGCGCCAGATGCGCCTGCTGTCATACACAGGAGCATACATTCCAGAAGGTACTGGAGGAACTGGTCCATACGGCTGCGGAGGAGGTTGGTAAGGAGCAGAATTCATACGATCTCGAGGGGAAAATGCACTGTAATGATCAGCATATGGCATGGATGCAGGTGGGAGAGAGGACTCTGGAACATTACTGGACCTCACAAAGCGAGGAACACAAGGAGCCACACCAGCTGGTACCGTTGGAGGTGGTGGGTAATATCCTTGAAAATTGGAAAGAGGAATATTTAATGTAATCTTAGTAAAATACAACATTTTATCAAAATTTAAGCCTAAAGCAGCCTTTAATGTGGGAAAATACAGTAAGCTCTGGACTTTACCTTGGATACCCTGCTTTATAAAAAAGCAACATATTTTCAAGATACACTATATGAAAATCATTATGTTTAATACTTTGTTAAACTGCTGCTTAAAAACATGACAGAATTATTAACAGATGGCTGACAAATTTTCTTCTAGGGCATCTAGTGGTTTTGGATTAAATAGTTAACCATTGATTTTTATTAAACCTTTCTAGGAGCAGAGGTTAAAGAACTCTTTCAAAATGTATATAACCTCCCCATGTCTTTCCAAAATTGTACAGAAGAACATATAAACCAAAACATTCGCATACAATTTCGAAATTTACAGAATTCCCTTAACTCTTTCATGGACTCTATATTTGATTCATAGGGATGACAACCTTAATAATACTGGTAATCTAAAATCACAAATGATTTGGGAAGTAACAAATCTTATGGACTGCATACAACCCAAGGTTTAACTTCTTAAATGTAAACACTCTAGAGAGATACAAATGATTCACTCATTTATATAATAAAAACAAATGTTACTTTTTTGCAGAATTGTTTGAAATTACATACCTGTCTGTGGATACTGGGGGACTTCAAAGGGTATCTGAGTCCTTGGATCTTGAAAATACTGAATGTTTTCAGAATGCTGAGGATATACTGGTACTCTAGTTAGAAATGGGCTGGACTTTGGAGGTACAGAATTCAGCTCTGTTCCAACATTAGAGGGCCCAGCTGAGGTAGCTGCTACATTACTTACAGGAGTCTTAGGTGGAGAACCAATTTTACTGGGGAGAAAATTTAACAAAAGGCAAAAATCACTGTCTATGACCATTACATCTTCCTCATTAGTTAATTTTCATAAAATTATACCATTAAATCTTAACAGAGAACACTTCAGATATTTCCACAGTGACTAAAGTAATGAATTTAACTGCCAGCTCACACTGATAATTCATAGGTGCATAGTAAGGGCAACAGAAAATGAAAACAAATTCCAGGTACTACTATGACCCATCAGTCTCTTTTTATCCATCCTGTTTACATTTTTTTCTTATTATTATTTTACCTATTATTTTATTTTTTAAAACTTGCTACTAAAAAAAGGAGGGGGACCAGCACACACACACACACACACAGACACACACACACACACACACACACACACAGAGAAAAAGCCACCAGGTCCAGAACTTGACCCTCAGTCAGCAATGTGCGAGTCCAGTACTTTAACCACCACACCACCTGCAGGTCCCTAGTCATCTTTTAAAACAGATTCTCCCTGCTAGAAATTAAAAATAAATAAATAAATGAACACAAAAAACTGGTTTAATAAGTTCTCAACAGGCACAATATAGTTCACCAGTAGAATCTGGGACAAGGCAGACATAGCAAAGAAGGTTTGTTCTTTATTAAAAGTTAGCCTAGGGCTGGCCTATGGCCTGGTGTTTAAGGGAGCTGGATCCTGCATGGCCAATCACATATTCCGAATCTTGGCCTTGGTGGTCTGAAAACAAACTGGGCACATGTGCATGCATACCCAAACCCTGACAGGATGGAGAAATGGAAAAGGAACTGCATGTGACCATACTCCACTGGGGCTTGGTTTCTCCCCCTCTCTCTCTGCGGAGTGCACATCCTCTCTGGCAAAAACAAAACAAAACAAAACAAAACAAAAACACATTATTAGACTAGCTGAAATGTAAAACTGATTTACAAAAGGCCGTATCTGTCTATTTTGTCAACCTCTCTGCATCCCAGCACCGAGAATATTTGTTAACATCTGTATCTCATCACCTAGAATAGTTCCTGGTACACAGTGAACACTCAGAAACATCTAATGGATAAATATACCAATGAAAAGGTAACTCATTACATTTATGCAAAATACACTATATATATATAT